TCAACAAGAAGCTATTAATTGTTAACGGACTTTGTTGCGATTTATCTATTTTGTTTGACAGTTTCGTAACAGAATTTGAATCTCCTTTTGTATTAGAAGATAAAATTTGTGATGGAACTGTATGATGACGAGTAATTGGTGGTTCTTTTGGAATATGACGAAAAGTTAATCTGATATGAAGAAATTTTAGAACTTCCGAAGACAAAAAAAAACATGTATAAAAAATCTCACTGAGATAATGGTCGATTTTCTACATTATTCAAATGTTCTCGTATAGCTTCATCTCGATAAGTATAATAAATTTTCAATTGTTCATTTAAATTATTTTTAATTGGTGGTCGAATATTCATATCTGTATTATTGGCATGACTTGTTTGTAAAATTCTATTATTCATCTCTCTCACATTATAAAAGTCATTTTGAATGATCTCAAAGGAAAAATAAAAGATTTTTCTTCAATGAACTTTTCAAAGGGACTTTGTTTTTTTTTGTAATAAGAAAAATGTGTTAGTATATGTTGTTTGAAGATAAGACAAATGAAGAAGGTATACGTACATTAATGTTATAGAGTACAGAAAGAAAAGAAAACAAACGAGGAAAGCATTCATAAAACTTGAAGGTATTCAACTGTGAGAAAGTAGAAGAAGAAAAAAATGACACAAAAAAAAAACGAAGAAAGAGTCAAATTGTGTTTAATTGTAAGTTTATTTTTCTTCGCACCATTCATTTTCTTTTTTGATTTGTTCTTCCTATTAAAAGAAAAAAAAATTCTTGGTTTAGTTTTATGTAATTAATTAATGAAAACAAAATCAAACCTCTTGAGGTGTGAAATCATTTTTGATATTAAATGTACGCCGAATTTCTTCAGGAGTTTTGCCTTTAATCATATTTGCTACTGTTTTGCATGTTACATCAAGTAAACCTTTGATATCTAAATAGTTAGCAGCCTAAATATACAAAATTAAGTTTTCTAAAGATATAAAAACCAAAAAAATTTATATAAAAAAATACAAACTAGAATAAGTTCAAAAAGTGTTCCTTGATCAACTTTTAGAAAATCTTGATCCCATGATGATATATCATTGGTATTTTTTTCACGATTTTCATCATCTTCTGGTGGAGGTGGATCATCTTTATGATGAGTTGCCCATTGAATAACCTATATTTCAATAATAAGAATAATTCAATCTTTTAAACATTGCTATATATTTTATTTATTGCTTTAATCAAAGAAAAAACAACAGACTTTATTAACTTATATTGGCTTTAAAACCTCTTTTGTGTCTAGAAGTATAAGTTCAACAAAAATATTTACTTTTTTTAAAATGGCCGAATTGACATTTGGTAATGGAATAACATCTTCTTCTTCATCCATTCCAAGATCTTTAAGAAAATTGTTTTATTTTTTAATATAATAAAAATAAACTAAAACAAAATAACTCTACCTTCTAACATTGTTTTTATTGTTGCTGATTGTTTAGCAATCTCAACTTCAACATCAAATGTATCACCATCACTTGATTGTAATTTTATTTTATGTCCAGCCATTTATTTGTTCTTTATTCGTTTGATAAATCGAAATAAAGGACTTCAAAAAAAATCTACAAGTAAATTTTAAACCTTTGAATTAGAAAATTAACAAATCGATTATTCATTAATATTTGCAGTTGTTTCTATTATTTATATCTAAAAAAAATTTATTCTATGTCAAGAAGATCTTTTTGTTGTTATAACTTCCCGAAAGAACAGAATGAAAAAAAACCTGAGTTGTATCAACAAATTCAGCTACAACAGAATTCGGTATTCTTTTGGAGTGCAAAAAAAAAATCTCACATCTCAAAAAACTAAAAAAAATAACAAAATTTCATAGTCATATTCATATTCAAATAAAAGTAAAGAAAATCCTTAGGACTCGTATCTTATATTGTCAAGACTAATAATTATTTCTTAATAAAAAAAAACAAAGAAGACATTGTGATTTTATCTATATGTATATAAAATCGTTCTATCTGACAAATATGTTCAAGAAAGAGACAAATCGCTATACATATCTGAACAAAGAATAATAATAAGAATAAATTAATTGTTAGCAAATGAAAGAAAAACACAGATAATTATGTCCATTTATACAATCGAACTTGATTATCGGCTAACGCACATAAATGTTGACGCGTTAAACATACATCAACTATATCACATTGTGTTGGAACTTTATACGAAGGTGTCTCTGTTGATTGACGAATATTCCATAATTCAATCTAAAAGTAGAAAAAGAAAAAACATACATTTTAAAACAATATTTTCTTATTTATAGTTCTCGAGAATTCTAACTCTAGTAGAGAATAGACCATATTTTCAATAGAATTATGTAAAAGAAAAATTGAACGACGATAATCACTATAAAAAAAATAGACTTGATGATTTTCAATCTCCGCAATACATGTCTATTTTTCTTTTTTTCGAATAAGTTCATTCTCAATGAGATATATATTCTAATGAAAATGCTGTATCTTTAAACTCATATTCAATAGAAACCGACATAAATTAAGAGTGCGAACAATAGACAATATTTTGTCCAACATGAAGAGCAAGCAAAGTTGCCGATTAGGGGAATGAAAGATACACCTATCCAAAAAACTTCGACGTTCTAAGAAAATTCTTAACACTTTCTTCCAACTTTTGACAGTTTCGTGATGATTTTGGACAGAAACAACATTACGAAATACCATTTGCCTTTCTATGGTAAAAAATGAAATAAAAATAAGCAAACATTGTCGTTGTTAGATTAGAATAGAATTAGAGAGGTTCGTACAGATCTTCATTTGTGGGAGAGTCCGAATCAATGTGGGATTTGTTTATTGCTCCGCCACTCTTCGGCCACCGCTTCTACTACTCTGAAAATGAAAGCACTTTCTGCCAAATTTTCAATCCCTTCCACCTCTGGGGAAAACATTAACAACCCTGGGAGCAAAAGGTCAGCGCTCCTTTGAAGATCAAATAGGCTCTTCCAGGGTTTTTAGTTGTTGTAGCATACATTATGTGTCTGTACTCTCTAAAATAGATGTTCACCCTTCCAGAAGAAATTATCTGAATGAACTTTCTGTAATGGAACTAATTTTGTGCAAATATAATATCTGATATTAAAGATAAAATAAAACTTACACCATGTGATCCATTATCTGATGCAACAATATAAGTTTCAAAATTCTTATGAAGAATTTTAGATCTTGATAAAACAATATTAATACTAGAACCAATAAATGTTTGAATTAATTGTAAAGAAACAATAAATGATTGTTCAGAATCTTCAATAGGTCGTGTTATTAATTCATATAATTCATGTCGTGCTGGACTTGATTGTGGACGAAATGACGCTAATAAACGATTTGTTATTGAATCATAGTGAAGACTCGATAAATTTTCTATAAATTAAATTAAAAAAAAAAAAAACAATTTATCAAAAAAATTCAACAAAATTTACTATCAATAGGTAATGCATGATATCGATATTCACTATTTGGTACATGTTCATAAAATCCACTTTTATCATTACTTCCAACAAGTAATCCACTTGATTGAAAATTTGAATTTCGTTGAATATATTGAAGACTAACAATGGGTGATGTTGCTGATAAACTTAATGTTTCAATACTTGATGATAATGTTGTTTCACCTGTTTGAACTTGTCGTCGATCAAATACTTGTACACGACCACTATTTAATCCAGCATAGATTATATTTGGATCATCAAGATTCCATGTACAACTCCATACTTGGGACGCACATTCACATCTTTTCAATTTACAAACAATATTTTAACACGACTAAAGAGGAGAAACAAAAAACTAACTTACAAAAGATTAAATGTATTTCGTGTATAATCGAATATACGCATTGTTTTATCCCATGCACAAGATAATAAAAGATCACCATGTAGTTGAATATCACGAATTGGTTTTGTATGACGAAGTGTTGTATATTCTGGAGCTCGACCACCATCAATAAGACTAATCTATTGAATAAATTTATTATTTCGAATGAATACAAATGTCTAACTTAAATAGTTTTCTTATTTTTATTTTTATCTTATTTTTATTTTTATCTTATTTTTATTTTTATCTTATATTATTCATTGACCGAGAGAAAATAAATTTAGACGAAATTTTATAGACTATTGTTTGGTGATAATCTCTTAGTGAATCACATAATCTTAATCATGTTTGAGATTAGTTTTCATTAAAAAGTTTGCCAATAGCATAAAATAAAGATAGATAACCACCTGTTACTATATTTTATTTTTTTAGTATTTCTATTTTAGTTTATTTATAGTATTACATAATGTATATTATATTGGAATTCAAAATTCTCACATTGATTGTAAAAATTTTTCTGTCAGTCACATAAAAACTAGTGTTCATATGTCAACTGTGATATATCTAGAATATTAATATTAATAAAATCATTACATTGAAAAAAAAAACTAATAGTTTGTTGTCTTAAAAGTATTCAAAAACTTTATTTAATTTATGAAATAATTCAAAGTGACCTAAGACAATCAACACTGTGGGTGAAACGTTAACGATTTTTGGTTCCATTTGGAAAAAGTAGAAATTTTTTTTTTATGATAAAAGGTGAATGAGAGGCATACTCTTCTTTCGGTTGGATTAACTTTGGAAAATATAATGAAGATTAAACTCATTGAACTTTTGTCTTGATCTCAATACTTAGTAACAAAAGGGAAAATATCATAAGATAGACAAAATAAAAATAGTTTTAACCTTTTTAATACCATATCCAGGATATAAACTATTATTTGTTGGTTGACTAACAAAAAGCCATTGATGTGATGGAGCATAAGCGAGAACACGACACATTCCCTAAAAATTTTCACGTTTTTTTAAAGATATTTTAATATAAATATTGTTTGTTTTTTTACTTCTGGTATTTTAATAACAGTTTCTAATCGTATATTAATTGAAGGCGGCGGTGCAAGATTTATTGTTGGTTCTAGACAAGATCGAGAAGAATCATCTATTGTGTCTCCAATATTGGTTAAACCATGTGATAATCTATTTGAAAAAAAACAAAAATAAAATTATTTTGATAATAAAATTCAAAAGTATACTTTAATAATTTATCATGTTCATTTTGTAAACGTTTTAATTGATCTTTAAGAATATCATAAGCTAATTGTAATTCAGCTTTTTCATAGGCAATTTTTTTTCTTGCTTTTTTTTCTAAATCTCGTTCTCTAATAGCATTATCTCGTTCACTTGTATCTAATACATGAAGTGCACGACAGTAAATTCTTCGTAATTCTTTTTTTTTCACTGTTGATTGACATTGTGGACATTTAGGAGATGTTCGAAGCCATTTTTCAATACATCTAAATTTT